TGGGATGCTGGGATGTTGGGTTGTAGGGGTGCTGGGATGCTGGGATGTTGGGTTGTTGGGATGTTGGGTTGTTGGGATGCTGGAATGTTGGGATTCTGGGATGTTGGTGTACTGGGATGTGCTCCATGCCAGCCCTTGGACCATCACCCATGTGCCCAAACCCAGTGCGTTGGCTGCTCCATTTCTCTCTCCAGCATATAGTTTTTCTTGCAGAATCTGCTTTCTTTTCCCTATATTTGACTTGGCATCCAGGAATTTCCTCTCCCTGCCCAGGCGCACCGCTCCCCCTGAGCAAACACCCGTATCAGCTATCCACGAGGCAATTTCCTCTCCAAACGCTGCTCGCTGGAGGGGAAGGCCACGCTGCCATGCACCAGCCTCCAGATGTACTCCTCCTCCCCCTTCCCTTCTTTACGCTCCTCTCAGGACCCGAAACAAGCCTCTTTAATCCCAGTTCCAGTTCCCCTCTTGCTGCAGTGGTAGCAGAGAGTAGAGCCCCGTCGCTCCCAGGGATGCGCATTCAGCATCCAGGAGCCCCTGGAGAGGGGCAGGAAATGGATGGCCATGTGCTGCAGGGAAGCAGGGATGGGGAGAGGAGGTTCCCTAAATCAGTGTTTGCTTTGCAGCACCTACGTGATGCAACCACAACCATTCCACAGGCACATTTTTAGACTGTGAGTCAAGTTGCACAGAGGTTTTGCAATCGTCCCAGAAGCGCGTTTGATTTATCGTTCCTTTCCACCAGCGCACATGGAAGGACGCTCCGGCTCTGTTAATAATATCTGCAAACAGAGGCATTATGCAGCGAGGGATTCTCACAATATAAATTAAACCCAACGTCCATTTCACGTGCCTATTGCTTTCTGGAAATTGGAAGAAGTGGTGCACGCTGTGTTCTCCGTGTTACTTCCATCAAAAGGCCCTCAGACTCCAGTTAGCATTCATGATAAAATAGGAGACGGATAGATCCAGCCCTCAGGTTTAACTCCAGACTGCTCAGAACGCAAACTGCCTTTATGGGGATGTCTCCCTGAACGCAGACGTGTGCCTGTTGCTCTAATTACACAAGTTCAGCCTCTATTTCTAGGGAAGAAGATCTATTAAAAGTAATATTTCATGTTTACAGCAGGAGAATAAAACACAGCAGAATGTCCACCTCTGCTGGATGCAATCAAAGACATTGATGAAATGTTAGAATCAAATAGGAACATGACCCTCCCTTACTGTCCTTTCCTTCTGGCTCTAATGAAACAGACCCTGAAGGGCAACATGCTTACTGTACTATACAGAACCTCTCTGCATGCCCCCCCAGTGCCAAGCAATGGCCACTTTGTGTTTAAACAAAGTTAAGGGTGGATTTGAATACCAGACTGTAACAACCAATGCTGATTTGGCTTTTTTGGCAATTCAGAAACTGCTGGAAAACAATCAGACCTTGTTTTGAATACCTCCTCCTCCCCAGATGGAACACATCTGCCTGGCTTTGAACAAAGCATCCAGGTTTCATTCCAAGATTTTCTCTCTTTTTTCTTCTTTAGAAACTGATCCCAACCTAACAGTTCTGGTATTTTCAGCCCATCCCATATATCAGCTTGCTGGTTCTATAGGTGCAGCTCCAGCTATTTCAGAATAACTCGTAACATTTTGCTTTCTCTACCTGATGCAATAGGTGGGTTTGATACACACTTTCTGAGCAGTCTGGTGTCTTTAAACTTGAATTTTGTAGTAGAAAAAGCTTTGTGAGAGAGCATCACCTCCCTCTGGTAGCAATCCAACCAAATGAAGAGCTAGAAAACAGCAATCTAATGGGTGTGTGTGCTGCATGTGTGCATCTGTATGTGCAGGATATCGTGGGGCTGCTTTCATAGCTGGAGAAGTGGAGGGATGCTTCTAGGAAATCAAGGCACAGACCGTAAGGAACGCTGCTGTGAAAGCAGAGTGAAAACAAAATGTTGCACTGCAAAGGAGCAGTGAGGTCCTACCAGCATCCCCAGCTCCCACAGCAGGAGGGGGAAGCACCAGGTCCCCTCCACTCACAGCAAAAGCAGTGGAAGGGCAGAGATGATGTGTTTACAGAAACATCCCCAAGCCTGGATCATTTCCAGCGCATTACTCGGCACGATGGAATGTATGAAATAGCTTTTGGAAAATGTACGTTGAAATGCACAGCTCCATATGTCCCGTGTCACCGGCCCTATGCCATCATGCAGCTGCAGTCCCAGGTCTGAGTGGCAGAGCAATGTGCAGCCCTGATCCTGCCCAGTGCTGAGCACTGCAGTCTCCTGCTGCCTCTCCTTGGTGAAATTCAGCCCCAAGAGCACTGTATTTAGCAAAGTGTAAATGCAAACCCATTGGGATGCTTCTTCT